GGGCCTGCTGTAACCGGCGGATCAGGGCGAGCACAGTGTTGGCATCTGTGCGCGGCGCCTGGCATGACCTCACGTGGCAGTGCCAGCATTCTGCCAGGTAGAGGAGGTAGAGGAGGGAGACAAAGGCCAGTGGGATGTACAGGTAGCCATCAGAGCAGGGGCTAGCCGGGTAAGTGGGTGGTGGGCCCCCTGCCCCACGAGCCAAGGCTGCCTCGGGCCCCAGGACCAGCCGCGGCACAGTGGCAAGGCGACACCAGGCCACCACTGCACCACAGGCATGGATGAGGAGTGTGAGGAGCAGGCACTTCCAGTGTGACTCTCGGCACAGGGAGCTTCCCAGGGACTGCTTCAGGGGCCGCTGCTGCAGGGTAGGCAGAGAGAGGGGAGAGGGCGTCAGGATAGGGCCATTAGCTGTGCTGGTACTCTGTTTAACCCTGGGCAGAGAGGAAACTGAGGCTCTGAGGGCCTGAGCTACCTGTTCCCAGACTTACTTCCAGCCAGCTCACAGTGGTGCTGGCTGCAGGATTGGAACCCAGGCCCATTTTCCTGAGGCTGCCCTCTACTCTGCCCTGCTGTTTCTCAGTACCTAAGACACACAGATCTATCCCTCCCAGGAGAAAAAAGGACATTGCTCTCTTCATATCCCTTGCTGGTTACTGAGAAAACAATTTTGATGGTCTGAGCTCTGCTTGATTTGCTGTGAAGACTTGGCATATTCCTGCCCTCTCTGGGCTTTGATTTCTGGTTCTGGTGATATTGGAGGCCAAGGTAGCAGGGGCTCAAGAGTTGGGCTTTGGGGCCCAATAGGCCAGGATCTGGTGCTGGCTCCACCACTTACAGTATGCCTTGGGTAGGTCCATTATCCTTTCTGGACTTCTATTTCCTCACCTGTAACCTGGGGTTGTTACGAAGATTCAAGGAGATTATATGTGTGAAGATCTTAGATCTGGCCATGGGAAAAGCATTATTACTGCTACCCTGCAGCTCCTGGTCCTTTGCTCCACTAGGGCTGGCAGGAGACTTGGGAGAGGCTTTTAAGTCAGTGAGAAAGAGGGAGAGCTAGAGATGGAGGAGGTGTGAGTCTTGGTGGGGAGCAGATGGAGGGCTGTCCTCCACGCCCCCTCTGTGCAGAGGGAGGGAGGGGGCGGGACACAATGCTGCTGGGCAGCAGGGGCCACTCCCTGGCCCAGAGGACTTGGCACTGCTTCCCGTCAGGGCTGCCAGCCTGGCCACCTCACCCTCAGGTGAGAGAAGAAGATAGGCAGGGGAAAAGAGGGGTAAAAAGGGAGAGAAGAAAGCACAAACAATAGAGGCGGGGTTAATGGCCACCTCTCCTACCCAGCTCTACTAGGCCTTGAGGAAAGAGAGGAAGCCCCCAGCCCCCAGGCCTGCACAGAACAACCTGTCCCCCACCACCCACCACAGGTACACGCACTCACTCACCTACACCCTCAACATCTGGCCATCACAGACCCACTTACCCTGGAGGAACTCAGCTTGTTAACACCAGACCCTGACCTGTGCCCAGAGCACAAACCCCTACAGCCATAGCAAGATGCACATGGATACATGTGCGTGCACACACACACACACACACACACACACACACACACCCCACAGACCCATCCATTCCAGGACACACACATGTACATACATGTTACATACTTTCTGAAGCCCAGAGACACACCAAACTCTCACCTGACCACAGTGCACATCCTCCACCCCTCCAGCAACTTCACACCCACACCCACACATCCACTCCACACCAGAGAGATGCACACGTACAACACTGCTTGAAGACCCAAGCCAAAGGCCCCACGAGATCCTCACCTGACTACAGGACACATCTGTTCCATCCAAGAGGTAGGGACAACACATCTACATTCACACACACACACACTCTCCCCACAGGCATGCCCCACTCACTCAAACACAGCCCCGCTCACCCCCCCCCCCCCACCCCCACCACACACGCAGGCCCAGCCCCTGCAGATTTTCTTGGCTGGGACCGAGGAAGGGTGGTCCTGGGGGTCCCAGCCTGCAGAGTGAGCCCTCAGCCCTCACCTGGGGGAAAGGTACTGGAGTCTGGAGGCCGCCTCCCTTCTCTTTCCCCTCCCCCCAGTCCTGGCCACTGCAGCTGCATTGCAGGCGCCGCCCGGCACCTCGTGAGCGGCAGGGTCGGGTTGGGGGCCTCACCTCGTGGCCCTGACGGTGGGGGATGGCAGCCAGGTAACACTACGGAATGGGGACGCGTGGGGGACAGGCGCTGACGTCACAGCCAGGTGAGGATGATTGAGGGAGCACCGGGGGCCGGAGTCGCCCCCACATTCCTGCCCAGCCGCCCCACCCCTGCCCCTCGCGGGCCCCTGGCCCGCGACCCCAGGCAGGACGCGGGTTCCCCGAATGACGTCATCGGCCGTGGGGGCTCCAGGACTTTCTGCCCTCATCCCCCTCCCGCGGCTCGCCCTCTGCCCTGTCCTCTTTCCCGGGTCCAGCCCCGCAGCGCGGTACCTCCTCCCGCAGCGGCTCGCAGTCCGGGATGAGAGCCGGGACCTCCCCGCCGTCGCCCTCGTGCATGGTGTCCTGGCTGCTTGGACGGCCCCAGCCCGGGCTCCGGGCATGATACGGGGAGGCGCTGAGGCTGCGGCGCGGCCCCGAGGGGCGTCCGCTCGGCTCGGCGGCCGCGGAGCACTGCGCCCAGTCAGAGCCCGAGCACGGCGGCGGCGTTGGCGGCCGCGGTACCCGGCGCCCCGCCCTCCGCTGACCCCACCCCCACGGCACCAGTGGCGCCGCCAGCAGCGCCTGGCACCGCGGGCACTGCCTCCGCCCCAGGGGAGCTCAGGCTGGGTGGCTGGACACCCGGGTTCTGCTCCCGCCACGCTCGAGCCTGCGACCTTGGGCGAGTCCTTGCTCTGTGGCGCCTGAGGTTCAACGGTTGTAAGGTGGGAAAGGTGAAACTCGAGGATGGGTGGGTGGGTGGCCCCTTGTTCCATGTCTGAAGGCTAGGTCCAAAAGGAAGCCCACCCAGACCCCGCCCTGGAAACCTCACTTCTTAGAGGAAGGGGACAGGTACAGCCCAGAAAGGCGTGAGGAGCCTCATTTGGCTGGACGGGGTACTGGGCTCCGCTTAGGTTAGGCGCTCTGGGTGCTAGGACGCGGGGAACCCGAGGCAGGATGACCTTGGGCCAGCACGCTTCATTCTGAAGCTCCGTTTTTTTCATCTGAGAAATGGGGATGGGAAGGTGTCGGGTTCAATTCATAAGCGCTCATCCGGGCGCGTGAGAGAGTGTGATCTGCTTGGGATGGCCCCCTCCCAGGTACGTAAGACCCAATGTTTTTGTTTTTTGTTTTTGGTACCAGGGATCTACCTTGCGCTTTCGAGGCAGGCGCTGGAACCACTGAGCTAAATCCTCGGCCCAAAGTATTATTATTATTATTATTATTATTATTATTATTATTATTATTATTTGGTACTGGGGATCGAACTCGGGTCCTTGCGCTTGCGCAGCAGGCGGGGAAACCACTGAGCTAAATCTCATAAGACCCAATGTTGCTCCTTGACCCTCTGGGGCCTGAGATCTTTCATCCTTCTGCTGTGTCTGGTCTGGGCCTTGGCCCCAAGCTAGATGATCATTGGGTGGAACAGGAAGCTGCAATGCTGGGTGGTTATTTTGAGGGTGGGTGTGTATGTCTGTGCAAAGGGCAATTTGAAGACAATTTAGTTAAACATCCCTTAGGCATTTAAAGATGATCTAGCTGAGATGTAGGGAGAGGAAAGGACTGGAACAGGGTTTCGTCTAGTATTTATTTGGCACAAATATTTATTGGGTATCTTCTATATGCAACTACTGTGTCTCCCACTGGGAAGAGAAGGTAGGAGTAGAGAATGACACAGACCCTGTTCTCAAGGAACCTACATTCAGGGGAAACTGGGTTCATCCAAAGGGGGCCTAGATCCCATGCTCTGGCCTCCACCGCAGACTAGGCCAGGCCTTCGTTGCCTTCGTTTCTCTGACAGGCAAAAGCTGAGCTGTTTTTTGTTTTGTTTTGTTTTGTTTTTGCTACCAGGGATCTAATTCAGGACCTTGAGCTTTTGAGGCAGGCACGGTGCCACTGAGCTAAATCCCCAGCCCTGAGCTAACTCTTAAAGGCTTTGGTAGAGTCATGAGGAGGAAGGGGATCTCAAGTGGAGGGGACCTCTGGGCAGATGCACATCGACTGTTGGACCATGTGGGCTGAGTTTGGGGAGTGGGAAGGTTACCTGATATAACTGAACACTAGATAGCTAATTAGAGGAAGGTCTTAAAGGGCCTGATTGTGCTCCCTAAAGGGTGATGCTGGAGGCCTGTGAGAGGGAGGCCCTTGAAGACTGTTTCCAGGGAGGGTGGGAGTGGTCAGAAACCCGGTGAAAAGAAAGGAGCCCCCTGGGACCCCGAGGGAGGTTTGGGAGCCTCACTTTGAAAAGATCACAGGACTGGTGATGACTCAGGAGTTTCGGATGCAGTTTCAGGAGATAAGGACGCCTCGGCCCCCAAACAGACTAGACCGTCAGAGTCGGCGGGATAGACCTGGTGCAGGATCCTGCCCATCTAATCTCACCCAAATCTCCAGGACTTCAGATCTTCTAGGTTTCAGTTTTTCAGTATGCGTGTGTGTGTGTGCTCTCTCGTTCACGGAAAGTGTGAATCAAGATTTCAAACTCCCAGCAGGGGCCCCCGCGGAACTGCAGGACAGCGGTAGTGGCAAGAGGGCATTTTCAGCACCAGACCACGGACAGCACCTATATAGGAAGGAGTGGGAAGCAGGAGGAGGAGCCACCATTCAGTTCTAATGGGCGCGGCCTCCCACCCACACCTTCAGGTCGCCTTCGGCTCCGCTCCAGGAATGGGTGAAATATTGGGGGTGGGGAGGAAAGAGCACGAAGAGGGAGGGAGAAAGATCCGGAGGGGCGGGGATTGATCAGAAGCCGACCGCTCCATTCCCTCCTGGTGTAGGTCCCACCAGGAAGCGGCATTCCAGGATTCAAGCCGGAGATCTCCTGGATAGTGTTTCTAGTGTAGTCGTGGCAGACGGATTCAAGTGCCTCACTGCGCAGACGCGGAAATAATTTCCAAACCTCTCCTACCTACTGGCTGCTCCCGCCTCAAACTGGCAATCCCGCTATCCAATCATAGAACGTCCCCATTTGTTCCGCCTATCCTTCGCCCGGAAGTTGATTACTGCCAAATCCACTTTGGCGAGAGTTCTCCATAGCCAATTGGAAAAAGGGGCAAAGGGAACCTGTGCTGCCCAAGAGCCAATGACGGATGGCGAAGGATGACGCTATGGATATGGCGGCCGCAATCGGCCTAAAGGGGTACGTGTCCGGCTGCCGGGTAACCTCTGTTCGTGCCCCGGGAGAGGAGCAGCTGTCTTGTTAGTATTCGTACTCGCAAGGCAGCCCAGTCGGCCTTCAGGGAGAACGAGTCGCGACCATGGCTTATCACTCGGGCTACGGAGCCCACGGTGCGTGGGGTGACGGGCGGTTGGGCGGGCGGGGCGCGTCCCGGCCAACTGGAAGAAAGTTGGCGGCGCGGCCCGCTCTCCCTGAGGGAGAGGGGTGGCCGTCACCGCTTCCCAGGGCTGGGGTTGTCACACTGGTTCCTGCCCCGCGAGACTGCAACGCATCCTGGACTTAGCCCTTTCTGGCCAATCTCGAGCTGGGGTGTTGACAGCGCAGCTGGGATCCCCGCCTCTGACCCAGCACGAATGGAGTTGCGTTCAGAACTTTTTTCCCTGTCAGGATCCCGGCAGGATCCCAGACCACTGCCCATAGCCTGCAGGTAGCCCGCTGTCACCTTTCCTACCCTTATCCACGAAGGGATCCCCTTCTCGTTGTCTTCAATTACAGTAGTAAACTTCTAATCTCCTCAGCTTTGTTCAGAGATCACTCCCCTTGAGAGGCCCCCAGAAATCCCAGATAAACAGCTTTCCTTTGCCTGCATATAGCAAAGGATTTCTCGGAAAAGATCTCACCAAAGTTCTTTCTGAATTAGCTACTCCTAACCCAGCCTGACTTTCCCTCACTATTACTTGGTGTCCTGAGGACCCATTCAGGGCTGCTCAGCCAGTTAAGAGACAGTTTAGACTCCTGCTTGGTATTCCCATCACCTACTCTGGTACCTCCAAATCCACAGGTTCCAAGCACAGGGCCCGAGCAACTCCAGATCCCTCTTCTCTCTTCGATGACACGAGTGGTGGTTATTCCAGCCAGCCCGGGGGATACCCAGCCCCAGGAGTTGATGTGGCCTTCAATGTCAACCACTTGCTTGGTGACCCAATGGCCACCGCAGCTATGGCCTATGGCAGCTCTATTGCATCTCATGGAAAGGACATGGTGAACAAGGAGGTGTGGCCTGCCCCCAGGGAAAGGGTGGCAAGATTTCTGGTTAGGGCTGGGGCTTCACTGTATCCCACAGGATCCTCACAGCCCTCAGGGAAGGAGCACACAGAGGAGCACCCTGTGGCTCTGGTGTGGCTCGCCCACAGCCTCCTCTCTCCCCTCTCAGCTGCACCGTTTTGTGTCTGTGAACAAACTCAAGTATTTTTTCGCTGTGGACACAGCCTATGTGGCCAAGAAACTAGGGCTTCTGGTCTTCCCCTACACACACCAGGTGAGCTACCTACAAAGTGAGCTAGTAGGCTTCCCTCATCCCGCCATGGTCTGTCCCCTAGTCCTCAACCTTCTTTCCTCTTTTCTCCTCTCCTCCTCCTGACCTGGCTGCTGCCACCACTGCCAGAACTGGGAAGTACAGTACAATCGCGATGTGCCTCTGCCCCCACGACAAGACCTCAACGCCCCTGACCTCTATATACCCAGTGAGTCTCTGACCAGGGCAGGGGCCACAAAGGGACTTGTGCCTTGAGGTATGAGGGAGAAGTGAGAGGTTCAAGTATTGATCCCGCATCTGCTCCTGGTGTTTTTTGTGGTGGTGCTAGATGCTTGGTAGACTAGGCTGGGTGACCAGTAAGGAACTTCCTGAATGTGTCTCAGTGTCCCCACAACACCCTTTTGTAACTTTCATGCCTGTTAATTTGAACTGTGTCTCTTTCCTGCCTGGAGCCCTAGGTTTACACTTGGCTCTGCCACTTGCAGCTGTGGGACTTTAGGCTGGTTTTTGCACTCTTCAGTAAAAGCAGAATAACAGCCTGTACCTGGGAGGATTGTTGAGATTCAGTGAGGCATGTGTGTTCAGCATTGCACCTGGCATGCAGAAAGCACACAGTATATACTATTCCTGTGATTATTGCTTTTCTGAGGTCTGCTCCAACATCTCCACTTCTAGGAAGCCTGCCCTGACCCCCAGGCAAGTGATCACTCCCTTCGGGGGCCCCACAACTGCCTGTCTGCTTGGCAATAGTCAGTCTTACCTGCACTCTGCTGTGGCTGGCCGACTCTGCAGCTCACTCCTCTCTGTCCTGCTGTCCGCACAGGGCCAGGCCTCAGAGGAATGTGCCAGGGGCTAGCCTCCAGAGGAGCTGCCAGGGAAGTCAGCCTGTCCAGGTGCCCCAAGGATGAAAGTCTTTTGTCTTTCAGCCCATGAGCCTCTCATAGCCACTGTGTAAGGCTGGTACTGTATCCCCACTTCACGTTAAGGCCAGGGCTCAGTGGAACTTTAGTACCTCTGATGCCTGCAGCTTATAGGTGGCAGAGCTGATTTCCTGGCTCCAGACACTGTGCCCTCTGGTGGGGACATTAGTCTAGTGCCTTAGGGGGCAGAGGACTGATGAGTTTAAGTTGCTGCTGAAGCCTGGTTCCCACTGGTTCCAAGCTCTTAGAACTGCTCAGAGTTGAAGGAGAAGAATAAGTTCTTTTTTTTTTTTTTTTTTTTAAGAACTGCTCAAAGTTGGCTTGGAGTTCTCTGTACGATCAGAGCATCCAGAGCCAGTGCCAATGGGCAGGCTTAGAATTGCTGGCTGAGATGAGCTCATTCCCATGGCCCTGGACTCTTGGGCCACTCTGGGTTGTCTACCAAACTTGAATTTTGTTCCTGTAGTTTTGCCAAGTATCAGGCTGCTCCCTGTCTAGGATGAGCAATGGCCTTGACCCTTGAAGCAGTTTCTGAGACACAACAGGAAACTGATGAGCTTCCTTGAACAGGGGCAGGGGAGAGGTGGCTGGTGGTTCTGGGAGAAGGGTCAAGTGGCATTTACTCAGGGAGAGCATTGGTTGAGGAAAAACATCCCAGACAGGATGGGAATCCTATTGGGAAGCTGAATGTGGAAGTTGGGCCATGCAGGGAAGGAAGTATGGGGGCCGCTGTGGTATAATGGTTTTGAATACATAGTGAGGAGGCTCTGGATGAGGAAACTAGGCTGATGGCTTCCCTTTGACTCTTGGCAGCGATGGCCTTCATCACCTATGTGCTGCTGGCTGGGATGGCCCTGGGCATTCAGAAAAGGTTGGTTCCAGTCCCCTCTCCCATCTCCCCACCTCCCTGGGGGCAATCTGTGCCATTTTCCAGCCTCTCCCCCTCACCCCTGCCACACTGGTTCTGACCTGCCCCTCCCTATGGCCACAGGTTCTCCCCAGAGGTGTTGGGCCTGTGTGCGAGCACAGCACTGGTGTGGATGGTGATAGAGGTGCTGGCTCTGCTCCTGGGCCTCTACCTAGCTACTGTGCGCAGTGAACTAAGCACCTTCCACCTGCTTGCCTACAGTGGCTACAAATATGTGGGGTGAGCATAAACATGTGGGGTGAGATGGGAGATAGGGGGCTTGGACTGGGTATGTGGGGTCATGGGTTCTGGTCCTGCATAGCCTTTAAGTGTGACATCTGCTCCCCTCTCAACCTCCACCTCTACTCTGTTAGAGAGACCAGTTTCCAGCAGTCTCCCCAGGAACTGAGTGACTTGAGATGAGAGTTTAGGAAAGCACAGGGGAGAGAAGAGGGTCTCAGATCTAGGTCCAGGGACTGAGCCTTGGGCCTTGCAGATCTATTTTGAATCTGGATCCCTGTGTGGACAGCTTAGGAGTGGAGGGCTATAGTTAGGGGGAATCTGGCTTCTGGGCCTCTGGTGGGAAGGGCCAATCTCAGCCCCAGACCCTGGAGTCACCAGGCTCCCCCCACTCCCTAGGATGATCCTCAGTGTGCTCACCGGGCTGCTGTTCGGCAGTGATGGCTACTACGTGGCCCTGGCCTGGACCTCTTCTGCACTTATGTACTTCATTGTGAGTCCTGGGCTGCCCCTTTGGCTTCTTACTTGAGTCACAGTTGGGGACAAGCCTCCCCTCCTGGCCCAGCCTTAGCTACTTCTTTCTTCCAGGTGCGCTCTTTGCGGACAGCAGCCTTGAGCCCCGACAGCATGGGTGGTCCTAGCTCCCAGCAGCGTGTCCAGCTCTACCTGACTCTGGGAGCTGCAGCCTTTCAGCCCCTCATCATATACTGGCTGACCTTCCACCTGGTCCGGTGACACCCTGGCTCCAAATGGCACTGATTTTTCCTTACATTGAAGATTTGGTTTCCTTCACTTGGTTTGAACCTTGTTCCTGGGTGGTCGGGGAGCTTCAGATACCTCTGGGCCTCTGCACTGCCCAGAGGACTCGGCTCGGGGCTTTCTAGGAGGATAGTCAACTAGGGAGGGTTTCCTGGAGGTTTTGACCTTGAAAGGCAAATGGAAAGGCTTCAGCAGATACAACCAGGAAAGTGAGGATGACAGGGTAGTTGGCAAGGAGACCTCGAAGGCCCCTGATCCATCTGAAGGGGCTCCCAGAGGGCCTTGTGGCTCATGGGGTAAGACCAGTTGTGCTGGGGACTTAGCCCCAGTCCTTCATCTCATCCCCATCTCCTCTTCACAGCTTTTAGGAACAGAACTGGGGCCCATGTGTTTGCAGTAGTTTATTCATATTTTGTCACAAATGGCCGGGGAGTGGGTGCCGGACTCCTCCAGGCAACATAGAAAATAGGTCCAAGAGACAGGGTGGGCTGTAGATGGGGCAAGTGGAGACGGGGCTGGAGAGAGCCTGGGGAGGGGAGAGGGCAGACTAGGGGTGGAGCTACCCCCTGCTGAGCCTGCTCATTCCCGGTGCGGGTGCCCCCCCACCTGCAGGGGGAGCCTCAGGGTGGGGGTTGAGGGGGGTGGCCCAGAATTTCGAAGGTCAAGCTCTGCCTGGTGGCAGGGCCCAAGTCCCCCCCCCCAAATGGACAAGGCCGGAAGTCCTACCACTTCCAGGATTGACTGCCATGCCTAACTGCAGGCTGGCAGAGGAGTCCCTGCCCCTAATTAGAGCTCTGCCTGGCCTTAGTCCAAGGGAGAGGGCTCTGAAGGCGGGGAGTTCCCGCAGCAGCAGTTTGGGGGATGGAGAGGCTGGGGGCACCAGTGCCCCCTCCCTCCCCAGGGCTGAGGCCTCTGTGGCCGAGGGGTAGGGCTGGGGGTGCACAGGCGTCCGGTCCGTTCTGGGCTCGCTCCCTGGCCGGCTTCCCCCTTAGAAACTCACCAACGTATAAACCATACTGTAGAAAAATGAGGCAGTGAGCTCGAATCCTGAGCAAACCTGGCCACCCACCTGGTGACATCTTGGGTTGCCCTCAGCCCTCAGAGGCAAAGGGCAAGAACTTGGGATTGCCTAGGACATGCCTTCCCTGAGTTCTGCCTGCTATGGTTAGGGCCTCACCTGTACAGGTAATAGAAGAAGGAGAGCAGGTAGAAGGCGAGTTTGCACCAGGACTCCTTCTGGCAGTAGTTGAGGATGTCAGCATTCATGATGGAGACCGCATCATACATGACCTCAGAGCCATCCGCAGGACGGTGGAAGTACCTGGGGCGGGGAGAAGCCTGAGTGCCCACTAGCTATCAAGGCTACCACCCCATGCTGCTGACCCCCACCTTCTCCTCCCCCCGGTGGCTGCTGCCCTCACCTCCAGAGGTGGTAGAAGAGGAGGGGGATGTTGAGGCCCAGGGTCACCCACTCTGCTGCACATAGAAACATCAGACAGAAGAGGCCGTGGATGGAGTATTCTGGGACCACCAGCTGTGTGAGTGAGAGAGAGGTCGGTGGCCTGGTGCCAGGACAGACCCAAGCTTCAAGAGCACAGAGGAGAGCTGGGTACTTGGACGTGCCAACCCACCATGAACCCATGACCAAAGGGCCTCTGGCCTCCTACCCTCCTCCCAGGAGGCAGCGGGGATCAAGGAGGCCCAGAGAAGAGGAAGGTCCAGCTCTGGGCTACCCAAGGTGGAGGAAGCACTTGGTTAGGAGCCTCCTGCCCCCAGCCCTGACACTGACCTTTCTCAGCAGGCAGCAGATGCGTTCAATGTTTTTTAAACGCTCGCGCTGTAGGGGAAGGAAAAGGCCGCCATGGGGGAGGCAGAGGAACTGGCCCCGAGGTGCTCCCCCATCACCCCACATGTGGCCGCCAGGGGGCGCTAGAACCGATTCTGTCCTCAGTGCGGCAGGAAAGCAGCCGCGCAGTTCCCATGGCGACCGTCACCATGGAGGGGGCCTTCACCCGCGTCTCCATGGCAACGGGCCAGAGCCTGGCAACTGCCTCCCTGCCAGGAGGATCTAGAGCCCAGAACCCGCGCCAGGTGTTTGCTGGGGGTGGGGACAAAGAAGGGGCAAAGACCACTGGTCCCCTACATCGCATCCTCACCTACCCACCCGACCTCCATTCCCACCCACTGCCCAAGACATGGAAAGACAGACGGACGGACACACCTCGGCACAGCACATGTATCACTTACAGCCCGCGCTGGGTTCCCCTGGTCGATGGGGTTCTTGAAGTCAGTCCGCAGCTCGTCAAAGGCTATGATCTGAGGGAAGGGCGTGTGCTCATCAGGTTTGAGGCAGCAGCTGAGGCCTCCTTCCGTGGGATAGGAATTTATACACGGGGACTGGGCAGATGGAGCTTGTAGCAAAGTGGAGAAACTGAGGCCCAGGGAGAGACAGGACCTGGTCTAAGGTCACACAACAGTCTGGAACAGAATCCTAGTGTCCTGATGTTCAGTTCCAGTCTATTTCCACCACACTCTATTCCCAAACATTCTCAAACATGCCCAAACACGGTCTTTTTTGCTGGGTCCAGTGCTAAGCACCAGAGCCCGAGGTCTGGATGCAGCTCTTGTCTGGGAGGAGCCCCAGGTTTGGTGCGCAGAACTTAGAACTACATTGGAGGTGATCAGGGCTGTGGGATATCAGCAGGACCCTGTGTGTAGGGTGAATAGGGGTTCAGGCTGACGCTGAGTAGGCGTTTGGTGAACAAATGGGAGAAAAGCAGTCCAAGCAGCAGGAATAGCAGATACAAAGGCATAGAGGATTGAAAGAACATTCAGGAAGCTGCAGGTTTATGGGCCTAGTGTAAGTGCGGGGTGTGGATAGGAGGGAATGATGCAAAATGAGGCTAAGGAGGTCGGCATAGCCAGCCAGACATTGGTGGCCAGACTAGGAGTTTGGGCTTTAACACAAGAGTAAAGGGGAGCTATTGAGGGCTACAAAGAAGAATGGGGCAGTCAGACTGGTGCCTTAGAATTGGTGGGGGTACAAGCTGGCTCACAGACATTGCCAAGACATCTGACCAGATTTATATTTATTCACTGAGCACTTGTAATAATCTAAAGACTTAAATGCTGGCATTATTTTCTTTCTTTCTTTTTTGCTAGTATTTTCATTTCTGTTTTGCAGAGGAGAAAGCTGAGATCGTGTTTTGTCCAAGCCACACAAGCTAGTTAGTGATGTTAGGATTCTAACTCAGTCTGACTACCGTTAAATACTAACCATTTTGTTATACTCAGGCTAAACCAGTGTATGTGGGGGGCTATTGGAGTGTCTGGGAAGGGCTAGTGGTGGTCTAAGTGGGCAGAGTGGCAATGGAGATGGAGAGGTGTGGATGAATCCCAGAGCTCTCTAGGAGCCAACTCCAAAGGGTTTGTATAGTGAAGCAAGGCAGAGCGGTCTAAGGTTTCTTCTCTTGGGGTGTTTGGCAGATGGCAGTATCCTCAGGAGTGGGCAACTTCTGGAGGAGCAGGTGTTTAGGGAATGATGGCATGAACCTGGGAGGAGCTGGCAGGTGACCTGGGGGAGATGGGCTGGCAGGGGAATCTACTGGGGTCCCCTCCCCTCAGCTCCAGCCCTAAAAGCAGCAGCAGGCCCACCACCCCCAAGCATCCCAGATCCCAGACGGCTCAGAGGGAAAGAACATGGGCTTCCTGGAGGGAGCTGGAGCCATCTGGGCCCCCTCCCCCAACTTCTCATTGACTCTAGGCAGCCTCCCCACTTGACAGGCACAGCAACAGGGTCCAGCAGGGAGCGGAAGGGTGCCGTCTGTCTGCCCCTAAGCTGGCACCACCAGCAGGCCGCGGGTGTTGCACCTCCCACCCCCTAGGCCGCCTGGCGCTGACTCAGCCCCCTGGAACAAACAATCCCCCACAATGACAGCTGACATGCATCACTCACCACCAGGGTTGCCTAGCGACTAGTGGGGCCTGGGCTCAGGGGTTGGGCTGGGATCTGGGGTCTTGCCCTGGAAGGTTCTAGCTTGTACCAGCTTTAGACTGAAGACTACATCTCCTCTCCCTGCTCTCTCGGTAGACCTCACTCTGGGTACTGATGTCTATACGCCTACTCTACCGATGAGAAAACAGACTCTCAAGATGATGGCTTGCTAAGATCACCCAGCCAAATGGCTGAGCAGACAGTGCTTCACACATAGTAGGTGCTCTGTGCATATCTGTTGAATGAATAAAGGTGTTACTTCAAAAGTTGGGCCCCACCTCTCAGCCTGGGCAATCCACAAGGGCAAAGCCTTGTTCTTATGCATCCTTGATTCCCTCAAACCTACGGGAGAGCCTATATCTCTGAGAATCCCAAAGCTACAGATCTCCTTAGGGGCTGTGGGACTGACTCCTGTGTAGGACGGAGCCTGAAAGGGGGCTTCTTGAATTCCAGGTTAGCCCTATGTCCCCTAGCCTGTGGTCTCCAGTTGGTTCTGGTCCTTAGGACTCGAGCCTTCCTGCCACCACCCATAGGACTGTCCAAGGCCCTGGGCGTGGGACAGAAAGCTCGGAGAGATCAAGATGCACATAGGGGAATGGAAGGAGGAAAAGAGAAATAGAGCCAAGGGGAGAAAAAAAAAAAACTGAAACACTCAGAGAGTTAGAGGCACAAAGGCAGGGAGCCAGAGGGTGGAGTTGGGGTTGTGCTGTATGGAGGGCCCACGGGAGCTCACTCCTCATATAGTAGGTATACAGCACAATCAGTGGAATCCCAATATAAAGAAGAAAGGCAGAGGGGATGGCAGAGGTATAAGGGGAGAGTGATGGGGAACCATGGAACAGGCAGCAGGTCCCAGGAAAAGAATGGAGAGGGGAAGTGGGAAAGCAGGAAGAGGCAGGTGGAGTAATGGAAGGAAGTAAGAGATATGGGAGAGAGCCTGGAGATGGGTAAGAGAACCCCAAAGGGAATGAAGATCAGGGAGGCTTGAGCAGGAGGGGTTGAGCAGAGGGCTGCCACAAACAGGCCTGGAGGGAATCTGGGTGGGATAGAAGCCTCAGGGTGTAGTGGAGGAGGGAGGGCTGTAGAGGGGGATCAGGGCCCCCAACAATGAGCTGGAGGCTGACTGATATTTCTGCAGTGAAGGTAAGGAGGCCAGGTAGAGGAGGCCCTTGAGGAGAGAGATCCTCTCTAGGAGTAAGTCATCAGGATGAGACAGTAGCATTCTGAAGAACCAGGTGTGAGGCTAGGCCAGGGTGAGGAGCAGACCAAGGAGGGACGCACAAGACAAAGAAGATGTGAGAAGAGGAATAAGAGGATGGATGGAAAGTGGAGAAGGAATGGAGGGATATCCAAAGTGAGCTGCAGTGGAGGTTAGGTTTCTAGTGCTGATTAGAGCCCATGGCTGGTTGGCCAAGGTAGGGGGTGTGAAGGGAAAGGGTTAAAGGCCTCTGAGATATGTGGGTCCTGTAAACAGATGCAGTTGCCATAGCAACCGGCTCCATCACTCTGGCTGGAAAAACCCACGGGGGGAGGGGGTAGCAGCAGACAGATAAACTGCCAGACAGACAAACGGTGTGTGTGTGTGTGTGTGTGTGTGTGTGGATTGAGGGGGTAGGAGAAGGTGCAGGAATTCCAGAAATCCGCCCCCCACGCCACGAATGGACGGGGGAAAGAGGGGGGTTAGGGACTGACTGACATACCCATAGACAGGCGGAGGAGGCTAAGAAAGGGCCCCCCCCCCCGGGAAGGAAGCCGACAATGGGGGGTGTTAATGGTGGCGAAGAGAAACCGATGGATGGGGGAAAGCGGAGAGGAGGCTCCAAGTTTCCCCGGGGCTCCGAGACCGACCATCCGCCCGGGCCCTTCCCGCTCCGTGCGCCCCCTGGCCCCCCACCCCGCCCCCAGCCCCAGCCCAGCCTTACGTGCCAGATGACAAAGAAGATGAGGGAGGCGCACAGCACCAGGGTGAGCATGTAGCAGAACGCGGCGAAGGTGAACGCCATGGCCCCAGCGCCGGGCGGCGGCCCGGGGGGCGCCAGCGCGGGGTCCTGGCGCAAGGGGACGCCCCCCGCCCCCCCGGCCCGTGCTTAGGGCCGGCCGGGCATGGCCCACGGGGCTCTGGGGACGCGGACGGTGCGGCCGGGACCGGGGCCGCGGGGCCGTGGGGGGCGCGAGGCGGGGGCCGTTGGGCTCGGGGGGCGCGTCCGCTGCCGGCTGCCCGGGCCCCGATCGCACATCCTGCGATCCCTCGCCCAGGGCTCCCTCGCTCTCTAGCCCGCGAAGCCGGCGGGGCGGAGCCGGGGGCGGGGCCACCGTGCAGCGGCCTCTGGCGGGGGTGGGGCTTCGTGGGCCCCTCCGCCTGCCCCATGCTACCTGAAGGCCGGACTAGCCCAATGCCGTGCATCCTCAGTAGACCTGGACGCACGTACCTGTTACCCCAACACACAAGCAGCCCACCACAGCCTCTGACCGGCACAGTCCCTGCTCTCCACCCCGTGCTCACTTGCGTGAGCGGAGTCCCCTAAGTGCGAAGTACTTGCCACCTGGGTGGTGGTAGTGGAGGCCAGGACATCTGGACAGAAGACGTAAGTCTGGGAAGGGCTCTGAACCCAGGGGCTGGAAGGGGTACAGTCTAGATGCATTGGGACACATTCGTGGTGTACACTGCAGCCCCCTGGCTGACTCCAGGGCTGCTGCCCAACTCCAAGTCTCAGACGGGTGCCCGTGTGGTGGCTCACCGGGTATTCGCTGATGGCCGCCTGCCTGCCTGCCTTCCTCTGACAGAGCCGTGCTGGGCCCTTGGGGACAGCCCAGAGCAACACATGCAGCTCTCCTGGCCCCAGTATGTGGGTCAAGGGCTTTTACCAGCCATCCCAAGACAGCCTAAGCCAGGACCCTAGTGCAACTCACCAAGCCCAGGGCTCTAGTTGCACCCCCACCCCCAATGCACACTAAGACCACAGACCACACTCAGTCACCACAACTTCCTTGCAAAAACCCTCGGCTCGCCCAAGGGCCAATGGAAATTTATTGATTTTTTTTTTTTTTTTTGTCCTTTCCATCTTTCCCCAAGTGGCTTTTCCTTGCAAAATGCCTGACATGGCCAGAGGGGATCTGGGAGGGCCCCCAAGGGGTGGCCCAGGGATTTAAATACAAGCTGGAGGGAAGGGCAGGTTATAGATGGGACAGGCAAGAGACAGCACAAGGGACATGGCTTCTTAGGTAGAGACCAAGGTTTGTTTTCTGCAGGAAAAAGCTGTGCCAGAGGGCAGAGGGCCAGGATCCTGGGCAGGGAGGGAGTGAGCAGAGGGCCCCAACTCTGGGTTACACCTACATTCCCCAGAGAAGTAGCGGCAGGGATGAGGCTCTGCCCCTTAGGCTCTGAGCAATGAGAGGAAAAATAGACCAGATGTGCTGCCTCAGGGAAAGAGAGGGTGTGCTGGCAGAGTGAGGGTTAAGGCTGGTGCCTGGCCTCTGGCATGGTGGGCCTTCCGCCTCTGCCTGCTTTGGGCACAAAAGGGCATGGTGGGCAGGCAGCACATGGGCCTGGCTCTGGCAGGGCAGGGAGTGGCAGGAGCAGGCTCCCTCTGGGCTTAAGACATAGGCCCAGCACAGCCTCCCACCCACCTGCCCTAGCTGTGCTTGGACCCCACTGCAGCTGGACGGCTTGAGCTGTGAGTGTAGGAGGGGTGGAAGGAGGCAGAGGAAAGGGTGGGCTGCTGGGCTCCTGCAGCCCCCATACTCGTCCTGAGGTCCAGCCCAGGGCCCGAGATCCCAGGCCTTGGATCCCCTCGCTAGTCCTGACCCCAGGCACTGCAGCCAGGGGCAGCAGAGGCCAGGAAGGCCTCAGCTCTTGGGAAGGGGGGAAGAGAGAGACAAGAAACCAAGTGCAGCATACATGGGGGAGGGGAGACAGAGGAGCCCTCCCCCGCCCAATTCCAAAGGAAGGCGCATGGTGGGGCATCTTTCCAAGGTACCTAGAGGCAGCAGCAGAGCAGCCCCCGTCCCTGCCCTTGCCACAGGTTCTGTGTGTCCTCCCTTGGGGACCCTGACAGAACTAGGGCTCAGGACAGCAGGCAGATGGGCCAGAGGGAGATGGGGAGCCCAGGACACCTCAAACCCACAGACTCAAATGCCCAGAAGAGGGAGGAGGCACCTCCTATCCCCTCCAGAGGCATCATCTGGAGAAGGGGTCCTCTCCTGTTCCATCCCAAGTGCCCCTCCTAGCAACAGCCACCACCAGCTGGCTTCACAGGGGTGCTGTCAATCTTGAGGTTGGGCCTTTCTCCTCCTGATGCTGCTCCAGGCCCCATCCGCTTTTTTATCTCAGCAGCCATAGTCATGAAAGCCTGCTCGACATTGGTGGCATTCTTAGCACTTGTCTCCAGGAAGGGGATGCCCAGAGAGTCTGCAAACTCCTGCCAAGGGGAGAGAAGAGGAGAGAGGAGACAGGGGTGAGGGGAAACGGGCCCCGGCCCCCTATGTAGGCTGGCCCAGTCTGGCTCACCTTGGCTGTGGTGTTGTCCACCACCTTCTTGGTGGTGAGGTCGCTCTTGTTGCCCACCAGGAGCTTATTGACATTCTCACTGGCATATCGGTCAATCTCCTGCAGCCACTGCTTCACGTTGGCATAGGATTCCTAGAGGGTCCAGGTCCAAAGTTATTGAGCTCCCAATTCCGGCCCCTCCCCAGGCCTAGACACAGGTTCCTTTGAGAGAGGCAGGTGCCCTGGGCTTGGGAAGCTGTCTCCTCCAGGTTTAGTTTCCCCCTCCTCTCCAGCACAGCACAACATAGCTGATGCCTGCAGTCCCAGCACTCACAAGGCCCTCTAGGCCAGACTGCTCTGACTGCCATGGCTGCTGCCCTCCAAGACACTCCCAGACATAACCACATGTGGGAGCCAATAACAACAGAAGAGAGGTGGCCAGAGGGAAGAAAGGGACAGAGAGGAATAGGCTAGTGAGAATCACCAAGTTCCCACCATGACCTGAAAATCTCTTAAGGTTTGAAGCCTTGCGCCAGGTGGGAGGTGTCCTGGCTATGAGACAGGCATCCTGTCCTACTTCTGACACTAACACTGCATCACTGAGCCTCAGACAATCCCAGCAACCTGACACCTGCTTCCCCTACTGACAAAGGACAGAATTTCTAGGAAAGTGCTCGAACTAGAGCTGCTTTTCTTTCTTAGGGGCAAGAGGCCTGGTGACCTGCCATGTCCCAAGTGTGCTTTATGCTGGGTACAAAGAGGGAACTCATACCAGGGGCTAGCCTAAGGCATTCAGAGAATAATGGAGAAACAGACCAAGATAAACATACAATGCCAATACGGAATAGAGGCAGGAGCTAGGGAGCCCCAGGACCATTTCTGCCAGGGAAGCTACAGCTGACCTGAGCCTGCAGGCATGAAGTGGGCTCATGCAGGAGAGGTAGCTACTGAGCAAAAGCCTGTGCCAGGTCACAGAGTGTGAGAGCACGATGTCTTTGAGGAAAAAGAAGCATGTTGCTGAGATACAGGGCCTGAGGCAGGAAGACAGGGGTGGGCATGTCAGAGCTCAAAGTGTTTTCACTCAGCTAAGTCTGAGACAACCAGAGACGGGGAGGGGTGTCTTCTCAGACAAGGGGCAGTGGGATCACATCTGAGCTCTTGATAGATGGTCTACATAGGAGTGTGGAAGACAGAGAAGACCAGGAAGAAAAGGAGACAAACTAGGAGGTGATGGTCCCTGAGCCAGGGGTATGGTAGGGAAGCACACAGGTTTAGTCAGGCCATTCTGGGTGAAGCCCTGGCTCAGCCACTTACTGTGTGACGTTGGATTTGTCACCAGACCTCCAAGAGCCTCAGTTTCTTCTTTTGTATAAAATAGTACCTCCCAGCAGGGTTGTTGTTTACATGAGAGAATGAATACAGGCCTGTCTCATAACAAGTGCTTAATTAGCAAGAGCCGCTATTATCCTCATCACTGCTATTATTACGATGGGACAGATTTGAGAGATGATGGGGGAGAATGGAGGAGGCTTGAGACTGACTGGATGAGGAAGGAAGAGTTTTTTTGTCAGGACAACAGGGATTATGTTACAAAAATGAGGATGCAGGAGCGGGTGTGGGGAAATATGGCCTGGCCAGTGCTGGACATCTGAGTTCTGCAGCTGGTCTGGAGCCTGGGAAAGGCACCCCAGGGCAGGAAACCATGAGCTCCAAATCAGAAACACTGAGTTTTAACCCAGACTTAGTTTTCCATGACTGGGAGACTAGACTAGGTACAAATTAACATCTCTCTAAGCAGTTTCCTCATTGGGAAATATAGACCTCGCCATGTGGTACACTGGGTATGATCACGGAGATTTGAATTCATAGACACCAAGTATTAACACAGGAATATAGAGAAAAGGAAGTGCATACTGACAGCTGTTTAGATGCAAGAATCACAGAAAACAAGATAAAAACCAAAAACCAAATTACCAAAGTAGCCAGAACCATGAAGAGAGTCAGAGTCAGGAAGCAGAAAAGATGGGGGGGGGGGCAGAGATGAATCAATAAACACCTTGAAGGGGCTGGAGATGTAGCTCAGAGGTAGAGTACATGCTTAGCAGATGGGGAATGCAGAGGAGGAACTCGTTGTTTTTGTTTTGCTTTGTTTTGGTACTGGGGATCAAACTCAGGACCTCATGCTTGCCAGGCAGGTGCTGTGCCACTGAGCTAAATCCCCAGCAGGAACCCTTTTTTTTCCCCTTGTATTGGGAATCAAACTCAGGGACTCTTGCTTACCAGGCAGACACTGCATCTCACAGCTGAGCTACATTCCCTACCCCAGAGGAGGAACTTTTCAAGGAGAGAAGAGTGTTAAAAGTCACGAAAGAGGGGCTGGGGATATAGCTCAGTGGCACAGTGCCTGCCTGACAAATGGGGAGCCCGGAGTTCAATTCCCAGTACCAAAAAAAAAAAGTCACAAAAGAGCCTGGGTGTGGTGATGCATGCCTGAAATTCCAAAACTTGGGAGGCTGAGGCAGTTCACATCGAGGCCAGCCTGAGCTACACGGTGAGTTCAAAGCCGGCCTGAACTACACAGTGTTTCAAAAAACCAAAAAAAAGTCACAAAAGGTCAATCAAGGGAAGAACTCAATTGAGGTCCCTAGATTTGGTGGTAATTAGAAAGGTCTTGGTGACCTCTGTCTGGGTGGAACACAGTCCACCCCCAGCTTGCTATCCAGAGCTGGGGAGGTAGTGGCAGAGGATCATGAGTCCTAGAGAGCCAGAGTTCTGCTGCCCCTCAGAGCAGGGATTCCTCCCAGCCCAGGGCTGATGTCACCTCCATGTCCCCAGGGCCTGGCTCCTGTTAAGCAACAAGGTTTGGTAGAAAAAACAAAACAAATGGGATGCAGAGATTAAGCTTTCTATCTCTCCAACTAAACTAGCTGGAGCAGTTCACCTGGTAGTCACCTCACCACCCTGAAACCAAGTCCTCATCAGTAAGATGGGAATATGACACAGACCTTACAAGCATCAAAAGACAATATGAAGGTGGACTCAGTGGTGCATGCCTGCAGTGCCAGCTACTTGGAAGGCTGAAGCAGAAGGATCACATGAGCCCAGGAGTTTGGGACTAGTATGGGCAACACAGTGAGAAACCATCTCAAAAATAGGGGGGGGCGGATTTAGCTCAGTGGTTTCACCGCCTGCTTCGAAAGTGCAAGGACCCGAGTTTGATCCCCAGTACCAAAAAAAAAAAAACAAACAAAAAAACCCACAAAGGAATCTAAAGGCTATGATTTTGTTTTTGTGGACTTTCTGGCTGCTGCCATGACCATTGATGCCAGTGACACGTGACTGAAGCCACCACAACACCCACAGGGCTCCTATACCTCTGTTCACCTGGGCCCAGAGCTCAGGGATCCCTCATTGACTTGGCTAAGGCCCTCCAACTGTTCCCCCCAGAATGTTCACACAGGAAGCCATGGGCCCAGCACAGCAGCCAACCAAGTGACTACACCTCCACAACACATGTGTCAGGAAGGTCTAGAACAAGGTGGAGGGGAGGTGTGAGGCATGGTTCTGCCAAGACTCTGCAGCAGGGCCTTGATGGGATCCATTTCTGTGGCTGTTTCCCTCCTTATGAAATGAGTACAAGTCTCCTTTCCAGGAAGAGTCAAGAAAAAGATAGTAAGAGTAAAAAGAAACAATAAAATCTAAGGCCAAGGAGGCAAAGCTGGGCAGAGTAAGTCCAAGAATTATCTACCTGGTCAGTGACATCGTACACCACGATGATGCCATGAGCCCCCCGGTAGTAGCTGGAAGTGATAGTCCGAAACCGTTCCTGACCGGCTGTGTCCCACTATAACACAGTAGGGAGAGAGGAAGATCAGCCTGGTCAAGTCCCTCCCCATGAAAAGTTTGTGCCTATCCCAGGGGCTTGGGAAAAGCCACACTTACAATCTGAAGTTTGATGGTTTTGCCATCCAGCTCAATGGTTCGGATCTTGAAGTCCACCCCGATGGTGCTGATGTAGCTCTCTGTGTATGTGTCATCCTGGAAGGTTGGAGCCAGTGAAATGGCCTGAATGAATGGGTCCAAGGCCCATTTCAAAAGCCTCCCTCCAATTTCCTGCAGAGTCAGCTCCTAATTGCCAACCTCCAGTTCTGAGTACCCCATCTTATCAGCCCAGCCCCCTATATAGTCAGATGCACTGCTGGCAGGTTCCCAGGTCTTGGACCTACTGTGCCCTGGGTTATCCCTTTTCCCCTTCCAAGCCACTGCCAGCCAGGACCCCAGATGGATGGTATGGGTTTCTTACTCACAGCAAACCGCAGGAGCAGGCATGACTTGCCCACACCTGAGTCACCAATCAAAAGCAGCTTAAACAGGTAGTCACTGGAGAGAGAAAACAGGAAGAAAGGCATGAAGGAAGTCAAGAAGTCCACCTACCATCACCACTACAGTATCTCCACTCTATGAGGCGTGTCTTTATTTGGTATTTTATGATAATCACCAGATCTTCCCTCCAGATCCTGGGGGAATGAAGATTGAACTTTCCCCCCATAAGCTAGCCCACAGGTCTCTCAGCTTCCTGAGTCTGAATTTCCACTTTTATGGAAAAAGAAACAGGCACAGAGAGGGACTTGATGTTCCAAGAATCACAATCAATTGTTAGAGCTAGGTATCCTATCCTGATTACTGACAGACTCCACGGTTCTGTCTGGTATAGGATATTTAGAGAATCCCTAGCATGTCCTGTGGTGTGTGCTACTAGGCAAGGGAGACAGGCCACCAAAGTGGAAGCCAGGGGCCGGCCCAGAAACTATTAAACAAAAAAGTAAAAATTCTGATATGAAGTCACCAAGAAGCAATAGTCAACAAGCGGAAATGATAACAACACTTAACACTTAAAGATGTCACTGGCATTACTTCATTAAATTCCTACTACAGTCCAAGGAAGTGAGTGTTTCATTCCCAAAGACTGCAGAAATCAGAGTCAAAACAAGGAAAGTGACTTGCCCTAAGTTACATAGCTGATAACTCTTTTTTTTTTTTTGGTACCGGAGATCGAACTCAGGTCCTTGTGCTTTTGAGGCAGGCGGTGGAACCACTGAGCTAAATCCCCAGCCCAATAGCTGATAACTCTTGAGACTCCAAACCAGGCCTGTCAGGCTCTGTGAGAGCCTGCCAACTCCGTTCTCTGTTCCCCTTCCTAATCCGGCTCAGTGAGGCACCCTTCCCCAAGGAAATCTGAAGTCTGGCGCTACAAGAGAAAAAGGAAGTGGCAGAAGAGGAAGATGACAGCTGATAGTTGGGGACAACTACAAGTGCAGGGCACAAAATGTGAGCCACCTACCAGCCAGGGGAGTGACCAAAAGGTCAGTAGAATTTGAGGACTAGGGAATCCCACTGTAAGGGGGAAAAAGAGGAAAAGCAAATTCCACATCCACCTAAACTTCTCTGGCAGTATGACAGCGGAGGGAAGGGGTGCAACGGTGGTGATGGAGGTCTGAGGACAAATCGCCTGGAGCGCCTGGAAAGCGTGACCCAGGCAGCCCAGGGTAGGCACAGCCCGGGAAGGGTTGACCTAAAAGGAATGAGAAACAAGTGGCGCTTCGGGGCCACCCGCATCTGGCCAGTCTCTAGATCAGCCCCGGGAACCAGGCTCCAAAAGAAAGAGAGGGATTTACAGCCTAACCTAAAGTACTTGAATCTGAAGCATTCGAAATCAGAAACTACTGTGACCAGCTCCAAACCGCGGAGGCCGTCTTCAAGCAGCAGATGGGGAAACTGAGGGCTGGGAAGACAGGGGCTGCGGGGTCACCTGACCAAAAAGGCCTGATGCACCACTGCCCCGGGCTCCAAGTGCTGCCCCTAGGGGTCGCCGCCTCTGGGGCCCAGGTGCGAGGACTCGGGGTGTCAAACCGGGGTCTTGGATCCCCGGGGGGAGGGGCAGAACCCGGATGTGTGTGGAGGAGTCAACGGAAGAGGGACCCGGATGTGGGGGCGCCGCGCAGTCCTGACCCAGGCCAGACAACCCCGGTAAGCGTACAGCCCCGTCCTCGGGAACGAGGCTGCGCCGAACGGCGCAGGCGGGGCTCACTCACTATTCGGGGTTCATGGCGGCGGCGGAGGCCCGCTTGATCGCTCCCAGTCGGCTCTGCTCCGCCTCCGTTCCAAGATGGTGGCCGCTCCGCCCCAGAGGCCCCGCCCGCCAAGCGCAAATGCACGCGTTCTCGAGTCCGGCGGTACCGCGCTGCTTCCTGGGACCTGTAGTTCTCCTGGTATTGACTCCCCCCCCCCGCTGCGCAGGCGTATGTCTCTGGAGCTGCCACGGCGGCGACGACGCAATGCCTTCTGGGGTTCGTAGTTTTCTTACTGGACAGGCCGGCGTGGAGGACCAAATTCTGAGCCTGCCACCAACTCGGTAGGTGCAGGCTCAGTTTAGTGCTGGGCTTGGCACAGGTCACTTCTGGCTGACGGAGGTAGCCATCCTCACCCTCTCGGCTTTGGCAGTAAAAATTCATCGCTCTTGGGTTGTTTCCTGTGCACTTCCAACACAGCTGCATCCCCAGGAGGCTGTTACCACTCCATTTTTTTTTTTCTTGACAGTCTCACTATGCAGTTCAGGCTGGACTTGAACTCACTAGGTAGCCCAGGGTGGCCTTGAACTCAAGGCGATCCTCCCGTCTCAGTCTCCAGAGTGCTGGAATTAGAGGCGTGCACCACCACGCCCATCACCGCCCCATTTTGTAGAGAAAAATCGTCTGGGGAAACTCGCTCACATTCCAACAGTATATTAAGGGGTAGAGCTCATCTAAGCTCACGCTGTCTAGAATCCCAGAATTGTCTTTAGAAATCGCGCACCAGGGCCGGGGATTTAGCTCAGTGGTTTCGCCGCCTGCTGCGCAAGCGCAAGGACCCGAGTCCAATCCCTTGTACCAACACCCCCCCCCCAACCCAGAAATCGCGCACCTGTGGCACCCCCTGAACGGTTCTGGGGTAGGCGGAGTATCTGGGCCAGTCTCACAGGACTGTCTGCGATACACACACACACACACACACACACACACACACACGAAGCCTCACCCGACCCCCACCCCAATCTGGAGGTGCTGAGGGATCCTGGGGCATCTACCTCAGAAAAAGCCCGGCTCAGGTTCAAACCGTCTTTATTTCTACAGCAACATCTGAAAATAAAGAGCGACCGCTTCGAACTCCCCCCCACCAAGTGGGGGGCCCTGACTAGCCCCCGCGAGAAGCTGCGGGGGGTGGGTGGGAGGTGGCTCGGCAGGATGGCTCGAGGGGCAGTGCCCGGGCAGGGGTCAGGCGGGAGGGGCAGTGCATTAAGGCCGGGTTGCAGAGCAGTGCCCGGCTGTGGGTGAGATAGCGACCCTAGGGGCTGGAGGTGGGGTGGGGTGGAGCACATCCCTCAAAGGCCAGGAGCGCAAAAAAACCCAAAAAACAAACCAAAAAAACCCCGGTGGTACAAGGAACCATTTCCGTAGGCGCTGCTCCCGAGAACTAGGAGCCTGGGAGATACCACCATGCGGAATAGGGGAGATTAAGGCCTGGGCGGTACCACTGGAGAAGGGCGGGGTGAGGGGAGGCCCAAGTAGTACCTTGAACTGAGGGGAGGGGTGCGGCCAATAACTTATTTCTTTATATACAGAAGCAACGGCCGGGTGGGGGGGAGGGGAGGGGTAGTGGCAGGGCAGCAGGTTCTTAGTGTTCTTGACTCCGGAGTCTGGGGAGGGCGGGCGGCCATCTCCTCTTGGAGACTCCAGCCAGCCCCTCCTTCTGGCTGGAACCTAGGGAAGAGGGGCTCGGCTAGAAGGAATAAATACAGGGTAGAGCTGGAGAGGGCAGGCCCAGCCTCCAGGGCTCGGGCTGAGATGAAATGGGAGGAGGTTACCCTGAGATTGAACAGAAAAGACAGGGGTCCTTGGGAGAGACAGGCAGGACAAGCAGCAGGCCCATGCGCAGGGCTGGGGGGAGAAGATGTGCTGGATGGAAGCTCTGGTGACTGGCTGCCCCTTCAGGATTAGCCCACAAGGGAGCTTCGTCTGGAGAGGTCCATGGAACTGGAGCTGAGTGTGCGGCTGTCAGAAAGACCTGTGCCTCCAGGCTGTGGGCAGAAGGATATGGGATCAGCCTCATGCTGTTGCTACTGGGCTTCTGGGGCCCCAAGGGGCTGATCCAGCCAGGCCCTCAGGGCAGACACAGCCTGAATCCCCAGGCTGGCCAGGTCTGGCCCAAGGTCACACTGGTTACTCCACGTTACTGTGCTGGCACTGGTGGCTTACATGTCCACTGCAAGGGAGGTGCTGCATTCCCCTCATCTGTCCCCCTGCTGTCCAGCCCAAAGCAGGTTTGGGATGGGGACAAAACTGTCACTGGATGAAGAGACATGCTCCAGGAGAAGCTGGGCAGGAACACATGCAGACCTGGGTCCCAGAGGCCCGGGGGCAGAGACCTGGTTTCAGCTACCCAGTTCCAGACACCCACTGCCCCTACCTGGGCTGGCTCTTCCACGCTCTTGTTGAGGAAATTGAGGGAACTGGCCCGCTTCATCCTGAAGGAAAAGGCCAGCTGAGATTTATCCATGTGGATATGATAGAGTCAGGAAGGCTGGGGTTGGGGAGAGAAGAGACTTGGTAGTGATGGCACCCAAGAGGGATGGGGAGGTCACCCTGGGCCAGCAGAGCACACTTAGATCAGGAGCTCGTTTAGGGTCACTGTATGGCTCTGGAGGGGTCCACCTGGGTAGGGGCTCACCTGGGGTTAGGTGGCTCCTGTGGGCTGCCCCCCTGCAGCTTCTTCACCAACATCTCACTGCTGCGCCTCAGGGCATCCCGGAGTTTCCCAAAGGAGCCACTGCGCCGCAAGGAGCCACTGCCATCCTTTGGGTGACAGGCCTGACCTTAGGTCACACTGGCGATACAGTCTCTCTCCCAACCCATCCCGGCCCCCACACTCACCCCACTCCACTCAGCGGCAGGTCCTGCCTCCTCTAGGTCAGATTCAGACCGAGGCCCAGCACCTCCAGTCGAGTCTCGGGTGGCACGGCAGCCTCCCCGCCTCCCACTGCCATCTTTCAGCAGCTCTACTACCTTGGTCTGGCTTGCAGGGTCCAGGCCCTGAGAGAGGGGTAGGAGCATCAGGGCCTCATTGCAACACACACAGGGCCTCATAGGTCCCTCTCCACCCATCTCCTGCATGGAGCCACACCTGCTTTCGGCTTCGGCTGGCACAGTCCTCCAGTGTGTGTGCAGCTTCCAGCTTGCCCTGGCGCCGGTACAAGGCACCCAGGCTGCGCAGGGTAGTGTTGACTGTGGGGCTGTGGATGGACAATAGGATAGTCTCAGATATTGTGTTCCCCTGGACCCAAGGCCTGTCTGACACCCAGCCCACACTGGGCCCTGAGGAACCACCCATGTGTCCAGCCCTGTGCTAGGCCCACTGGTCTCTCCTGGCCTGAGAGAATCACCCCAGAACTTGGGCCTGGCTCTCACGTGATGTTGCTACCAAGACCAAAGGCTAGGAGACCAAGGAGTGACAAAATCAGGCTCTCCTGGTACAGAAAGCCATCTTGTAAACTGGGCCTTGAAAGATAAGCTAGCAAAAAAGAGGTATGTGTTCGCAGGCACAAGGACCCGAGTTCAATCTCCAGTACCACACACACAAAAAAAGAGGTATGTGTCCTGGGTGTGACAGAATGGAGTGTGGAACCTGGGCCTTGCCCCATCCAGGATGCCATTTCCCTGCTATCTGCCCTAACCCCAACCCAGCCCCTGCTGCCCTCACCTGTCAACCTTACAAGCCTTGTACCAGCTGCCATATTCCCCATAGGGGGCGCTGTCCCGGTGCTTATCCTGGGGAGGCAAGAACTATCAAGGGAGGTGGAAGAAGACCCTCCCTTCCACATATCCATCCCATCCTCACACTCTGCACACAGAGCTACCTTGCTTTCCTCCCGTTCCTCTGCATGCATCCAGATGGGCTTGTTGTCTCCTGCGGACAAAAAGGTGACTATCACCAGCCTGCCATACAGGCCTTTCTAGATTGGGCTGAATACAGGATTCAGGGTCTGGGAAGGGGATAAGGGTGCACCTAGGAAGGACCAGAGCTGGGCTTTGCTGAATGAACGAACAAGAAACGGACTCAAAACATCACAAACCCTCCTCTGGACAGAGGATAAGTGGGTCACAGACCTGTATCAAGGGGCTTTTGATGGGCAAGGGCAGAGGACAGAGCCTTTATACCTTAGCCCATGGCCTGAGACACATAGTAGGCTGAATGATGGGCAAAGCTCCAAGGGATCTGGGAGTAGGGAATGACTGACCATGAGGGGGTAGAAGGTAGGTTCCTAGAGTGGAAGACACCTGGGCCAGGCCCTTGAGGGGAGCAGTTGACCAACAGAAAAGTAAAAGACTGGGCCAAGAGCATGGGGTTTGCCAAGGTATATACTGCCAGGGCAGTGAGCCCGGTGTGTGTGCTCCCATGGACACCATCCATACGTGAGGCTGGGCCACTAGCCAGACCCCAGGTATGAGGGCCAGTCCAGCTGAGATACTATCTTCAGTGCTCACAGCTGAACCACAGGCTGCACTGGATGAACCAGAAGCACAAAGTGGCCGTAGACTCACCATTGACAGAACCAAACTCCTTCTCATGAGCCCGGGTGAGGATCTCCTTGTACAGGATCTCTGCGTCCTGGTACTTGCCTTGTTTCAGGTAGCAGGAAGCCTGGTGGGACAGAGACCCAGAGGGTAAGCAGGACCCAGGAGCTGAGCTGTCCACCTCCTTCCTTCCCAACTTCAGACCTCCCTCCCTCCTTCCCAGGCCCTAGCCCTGCCCACCCCTCAGCACCAGGTTATTCTTGGTCTTGGCCACATTGGGGTCGTCAGGCCCAAGGCGTGTGGCGTAGATCTCCAGTGCCCGCCGGTAGTAGTATTCCACCTCCTCGGCTTTGCCCTGGTTCTGGCACAGCAAGGCCAGGTTGCTGAGCTGCTTGGCCACATCTGGGTGAAACTTGCCCAGGACCTAGAATGGGAAAAGGAGTCAGTGGTTGGGCTCAGAACTTCCCGGGACCCTGACCTGCACACTCCCCCAGCCCTGCCTGTTCCCACCTTCTCCCGGATCTCCAGTGCCCGCTTGCACAGTGGCTCAGCCTCCTTGTACTTGCCCCGCTTGCCATACAGAACTGCCAGATTGTTTAGTGTTGCAGCTACCTGGCGGATAAGAGAATAGAGGCACCCTGATCCAGGGTTCTGCTAGGCAGGAACTCTGGTACCTGGCTCAGGGTTGAGGGCAACTTGCCCACTACTACACAGCCCTCACTCACGGCTGGGTGGTCCTTGCCCAGTGTCTTCTCCCGGATGGCCAGGGCATCATTGAGCAGGTGCGCAGCTTCCTTGTACTTGTTCTGGTCCCTAGGAGCACACATGAGCATGCTCAGGGTGGTCTCCTAGCCCAAGGCCTCCCCCCAGGTGCCCATGATTCCTGTGGTCACTAATGCAGGGCCTGATGGGAGTGTGACTCAGAGCATTAGGGAAGCCTGGCCAGCCCCTGCCATCTAGGAGCTCAGGGAGCTTAGGGCAGTTCACACTCACCCCACCAGGGCCCTGCCTTATACCCAGGACCCCCAAGTTGTACACAGACTTCAAGTGCATCCTGCTCTGTAGTTCACAGTGGCTTGGCTTATGCCACTTTCTGGTTTTGGTACCGGGGATCGAACTTGGGACCTTGCACTTGCGAGGCAGGCGCTGGAACCACTGAGCTAAATCCCCACCCCTTATGCCACTTTCTGGCAAAGAAACTTTTTCCCATCCTTTTGTGTTCTGGGCCAACTCACTTTTCACAAAGACCCTGATCGAGGCTGGGTGATTGGAGAAGCTGTGCTAACTCTCTGTGACCCTGGCATCCTTGTGTGTCACTCTCCCTGCTCATGTCAAACCTTTCTCCTCTATTAGACTGATCTATTCACATCTGGAGCCCAGTCCCATGAAGCTCCTCTCTCTGCTGCCCACCTGCGCCTGGAGCTGAAGTCCTGGCCCTAGTAGGCACCATGGGTTAGTGACTCAGAACAAGTATCAAGAAGGATGCAGGGGCTCTCACAGACAATAGGACAGAGGGGCTCTTACCGATAGACCAGTGCCAAGATGTTCAGCATGGTGGCCACGTCAGGGTGGTCATGGCCTGATGTCTTCTCCAAGTCCTCCAGTGCCTGCTTGCAGAGTGGCACAGCCACCTCATAGCGGCCCTGAGAGGCATACTGGATCACCAGATTGTGCAGGGTACGAAGTCGTGCTGGGATTTCATAACCCCCATGCTGGGCAGCCACATCGCCTCCTCCAGGGCTGGGGGCTACAGGGCAAGACAGAAGATCAGGTGTGCCATCTGCCCCCTGGGATAGGCTGGCACATGCCAGCTATGCCTTTGACCTACTTGACACATGGCATTGGGCGAATCACTAACCACTATGCCTCAGCTTCCCCATTTATAGAGAAAGAGTAGGTAAAGTCCCAGCTCCAATATGGCAAGCTGTACTTTCTAGAACAAGTCCTCTAATCCCTGAGCCTCAGCTTCCACATCTGCAGAGTGGGATATGATGTGCATTCAATATTGTGAGAGGCAAGCCTGCCCCTGGCTAGCCTGTCTGTGCATGTGTCTCCTCTGATCCTCAGAGAAGGCCCAGAGGAAAGGAACTGTCCCAGTGGCCTCAGAGGAGCCAGAGGTAGAGCAGAAGGGGGAGCCAGGCCTGGCTGCCCCAGAGCTCTTGTGATGTCTGTCTCTTGCAGAGCTCAGGGGATACATGATACAACAGAAGACTTGCCCTTTAAGCTCTAATGTGCTGTGATGTTGTGAATGGGAATAAAGCAAGAAAGAACATGGGTGCTACTTGGCCCCCATTTCCTATGACCTTGGGGTCTTGAGCCCCAGGAATTTGCACAATCCTTCCTTCCCCACCACCCAGAGCCAATTGCCCATCCGCACCTGGGCTCTGCTCATCCTCATTGGGGAACAGGTCATCTAGAGAGTCTTTGGGGACATCTCCCTTCTCTTCCTAGGGAGAAGACAGGCCAAGTGTAAGGGAAGGCAGCATGGATGACCAAGTGTCAGTGGGCTGGGTAGGAGCTGGATGCTATTCATGCCCTGCCTGGCCCAGTCCCCTGATCCGGTGGGGCTCACGTTAGGGGAAGTGTCCTCATCCAGCTTTCGGATCTGGCTCATGAACAGCAGGTGCTGCTTCTCTTCTTCCAGCTGGGCCACTGCCTGCTCACTGTGCTGCAGCTTCTGCTGCGTCCCTGCCAGCTCCTCACGCAGCCACTGGTTCTCCTGCACCAGGCGCCGCACCTGAGCCCGAAGCTTCTGCTTCTCTGACTCCACAGCACCCAGATGGCTTGACAGTGCTAGGATCACCTGCCAAACCAGGTAAGTGTCAGAGCCCCAGCTACTCCCTGGCCTGCATCTCCAACCTGGGACTCCTGGGACTTCAGGGCCCAGTGAAGAGCCAAGCCTGGCCCCGCCTGTGAGCAGTTGCAGGGCCTTGGGCCTAGGAGTTCCCCTTTCCTCAAGGGTGGTCCCCCTAGACCCCATACCCTGAAGCTCAAACCCAGGTTTGGGGATCCCAAACTGCTTCCTTCTGGGATTCCTGAGCTACCACACTCTTCCTTTGTCTCTCTTGGGAGTTGTTCTCTGGCTGCAGCAGCCATAGCTGTTATACAACTGCAACCTGTCCCAGTGCTAGTGCTCATACAAAGAACCATGACATGGCTAAAAGGCCACTGAACCAGCTCATCTTGGCTTCTGCTGGGGGTCCACAGCATACCTTGCCTTCTGCAGCTCCTGGGTAGGGAAGGATAGATGTTCCAAATGCCCAGAAGGTATGGAGAACCACAGAGGCAGATAATGCCTTATCCCCCAAACCTCTCCCCAACCTCTCACTCCCTTCCTGAGCTTCCAGACCCTTCCTTCCTTGGAGCCTTAGCATGGGCTCCATCCTCCTTCATCCATCCTTTATGGTCCAGCATCATTTCTGCTATCAATCACACCTTCCCCTCTGCTCCACCTCCACATGGCCTTGCTGCCCATGGTCTCCGTGCCTTCCCATTCCCCATCTGTGAAGGGTCTGCATGCCACCAGGAGTGGGGCCCCATCTCTGTATCTGATAGACAACTGGCTAGGAAGGTAACACATTGCCCTTTTAGAAGGCTGGGCAGTCTGGGACTCTGTGCTTTCTAGTTGGTTAGCAAATATCTAAGTGACAGGTGTTTTCATACGTACTAGCTTTAGAAAAAATTCCCTCAACAGCCTGGAAGTATGTACAACAGATGGCATGATCCCTATTTTAAAGACAAGGAAATCAAGATGATACAACCTGCCTAGGATTCAAGGCTTCAGGCAGTGGCTTGGTTAAAATCTGAGGGGAACAAAACCCTTTCCCATAGAATCCAACTCCTGTCCAAATGCCTCCTAGACACTTCTGTCTTCATCTAGTCCTGGCAGCCCAATTTAGGTGACCAAAATAAAACTCTGATGCAGCAGGGTCTCGCATCCCTGAACTTAGATTACAATCTGAGATTTACAGTGCCCCTTCCTCTCTTCCTCTTAGTTCACTCCCAGGTCCTGCAGGACCCACTTCCAGAACATCTTGAACTGGCCCTCTTCTCCCCACCCTCATGAGCATCCCTTTAGTACAAGCTGTCATCTTTCATTTGAGTTCTAGCTAACCACTTGCTACCTCCTTCCATCCCTGAAGCAGGTTTATTCTCTGTCTCAGAGTTTCTAAAACCTAAATCAGACTATGTCCCCTCCCTGTTTAGAGCCCTCCAAAGGCTTCCTGGTTTCCTGAGAATAAAACAGGTGCTAGATCTGGCTCCTGTTTCTCCAAAGGCCTCTTTTATCTTTCTCTCTCCTTACCATGTGAAACTAAAGTCACATAGTTCCTTCACTTCACCTATAAGATCCTGCCTCAGGACCTTTGCCCATGTAACTTCTCCCACTCCTTTTTGTTGAGGCTGCTCAACTCTTGCTCACCCATTTCTGCCTTCAACTCTTGGTTCAAATGTCATTTCCTCAGAGAAGTACTGCCTGACCGATAGACAAGATTCCCTATCATAGGCTGGGGATTTAGCTCAGTGGTTCCACAGCCTACCCCACAGGCACAAGGACCTGAGTTCCATCCCCGGAACAACAACAACAAAAAAGATTCCCTATTATAAGCTATCACAAGATCTTATTCTTTGCGTTGGGACAACTTAGACAATTTGTTACAATTATTTGTGTCTGCTTTTTTCTTTTCCTACTGGACTTGGGCAGGGACCTTGTCTGCCTTTTTGGATCCTGTATACCTGGCATTAACATACTGTGGTGCATAAGAGCATGTGATTGACTAGAAATTTAATAAATTAATGGAAGAATGAAGGGGAGAGACTTTCCTTAAGAATTTCTTTTCTGGGCCGGGGATTTAGCTCAGTGGTTCCGCCGCCTGCCTGGAAAGCGCAAAGACCTGAGTTCGATCCCCGGTACAAAAAAAAAAGAATTTATTTTCTGTTCTCCTACGCCATCCAGTCTCTGTTAGGTAGAAAGGAGCCAGAAACAAGGTTCTACGTGGAGATGAGGGTGCTTAGGGTCTTCCAGAGCAAAGTGCATTACTTTTTTCAACAGATATTTATTGCAGCCCGAACATGGACGAGAGTCTAGGGGACTGGTGGTTTCTGGCTCAGATGCCGTTCCTACATTACCTCTGGAAGGCTCATACCCTCCCACAACGGCTCCCTGATTGACCTACCTGGGCTTCCCCTAGCCCCAGCTCAATGGCCTCCAGGGAGCGTCGCAGGAGGAGGCAGCGTTCCTGGGAACCAGGCTCAGCCTCGCCGGCCTCATGCGAGTTCAGGGGAGTGAGCAGGGCACGATGCTCCCCACGCAGAGTCTCTAGTCCCTGGATGACAGCTTTGGTGCCCAGCACGATCTCATCCTGGGTCAGTTTCTCCTCCCGCGGAAGCACCATTGTAGCCATAGTCGTGCCACCTGTGAAGATGAGGGGCGGGCAGGCGGCCGCCGGGCCTAGGGCCACATCGCCGTCCACCCCGAATTAGGTAAACACTGGCGGTCCCCAGATGCCTGTGTCCCCAAGGGTGCCCAGGTCCCCGAGCCAGCAGCCAGTACAGTGCCCGCGCTCGGCCTACAGGGGGCGCCTCAGCCCCATCTCGGCCGGGAAGACGCAATGCGGTGCAGCCAGTGAGGCTGGACCCTGATTCCGCCCCCGACCACCGGCTCAGACCGGCTTAGGCGGCCCAGTCTCGCGGCTTTCCCGGAACTCTTCTGGTCAGGACACGGAGACCAGGGGGCCGTCCTGAGTCGCAGGGGTTCACTCTAGCTTGGGGAAACCCGGTCCCTCGATGCGATCAGGCCCCAAGCCGAGCGATACCTTCCTCCCCCACAGGCAGGTCGGACCCGCAGAGCCCCTCCCCCAGAGGGGTTGAGCTCTCAGGTTTCTCGACCTGCTTTCTCCCGGCAGCCCCAGGACACCCCTCCCATAGGCTGGTGCGAGTTCCCGGCCCTGGCCCAGCAGGACCGCGCCCCCTCCCACCGGCAGCACTCCTTACACAGGCCGCGCCCATGAGGACCCCTCCCTTAGGCCGACCTGCGGCCCCTCCCCTTCAGGGTCTGAAACCCCCTCTCCAGACCGGATCGGCCAGCGCCGACCTGCGTTTCTCGATCAGGCACGGCTCCAGCTCTGCAGAGCTCCCGCCCCGCTTCACCCGGACCCGCAGCAGGGAGCAGGTCCCGCTGTCTCCATCCCGCCGGCCTTCCCAGCAGTCCCCGCGCCGCCTTAAAGGTGAAGCCGCTACCTCTGCGCCGTCGGAGGGGGCGAAACAAAAATGCTCTGGGCAGGCTCGCTGCCTTAAAGGAGCGCGTTACCCTTGCCGGCTGGGGGGGCGGGGCCTTCGAGGGGCGGGGCCTGGGCTCGCCTAGGGTGCTGGTTGGCGCTGCTGTCTTGGGTTCCGCCGGCCCTGCAGTCTGCTGCTGTGAAACGCCCGCCCGAGGCCACGGTTGTGAACGGCTCCGGAGATTGGGAACTCGAGAGCACCTAGTGCAGCTCCCAAACAGGAAGATAGTAGAAACTGAGGCCTAGGGAAACGGCCCAACCAAAGGGAGTTCAAAGCGAGAGATCAGTTCATTGAGGCAGTTACCACTTACTTATTTTTGTTTTGTTTTGAGATAAGGTGTCACTTGTAGTTCAGGTTGGCTTTGAACTCACTAGGTAGGCCAGGCTGCTCGCAAACTCTCAGCGATCCTATTTCATCCTCCCGAGTGCTGGGATTACAGGCGTGCTGCTGGGATTGCAGGCGTGCGGCACCAAACCTGGCTTTTTAAACAGTTTTTTAATAGTATATGTTTGCAGTATATAATAATCGCATCATGGTGGATTTATGCATGTATATAACACATCCAAATTTTGTCTCTTTTCCCTCCCCATTTACAAAAGCTCTATTTCCATTATTTTCCCTTCAATTCTTTTTTCCCCTTAAGGGGACATAGCGCCAATTTTGTCATACAGGTGCATAAACGTGGATGTATAATACCCATGTTTATTCTTTAGAATATTTCTATTGGTGAGTTGATTTTAATTTTATGAGTTTTATTATGTTAAACAATGAGTACTTAACAGAAAAATATCAAAAAATGAAAGTATTGAATTTTTAATGTTTATTGAGTGTTCATAAAAAGAATCAAAATTTATAACACCAACTGGTTTTTGGTGTACAAAATCTAAAAAAGAACAGAAATAAATTCCTATATGAACTACAATGAAAGCACCAGTAGAACTCTACAAAAAAAATAGTCTTTACTTCAATTATCACACCTAAGGCAGTCTTCAAACATTGTTCCATGCATACATCTCACTTACACTAACAGCACATGTGCTTAGCTTTCCTTTCCTGTGTGGCAGGACAATCTTATCACCTCTCTTGTCTTCCTGTTTTGTTAGGAGCTTCCTACTATATTATACAATGTGCACTTAGCAGGAAAATAAGATATCAAAGTAAAATATCAAATGTGTAGTGTCCTTAGAATAGACATCGAATTTTCATGTCAGCTGTATACTTGCTTACAAAACCTAAAAGATAACATCAAAAATAAAAAACCTATGTGAGGGCTGGGGATTTAGTTCAGTGGTTTCGCTGCCTGCTGTGCAAGCACAAGGACCAGAGTTTGATCCGGGTACAAAAAAAAAAAACCTATGTGAACTGTAATGTAAATACAAACAAGAGTCTGCCACAGAAATAATTTTTTTTTTTTTGGTACCAGGGATCGAACTGAGGATCTTATGCTTATGAGGCAGGCGCAGTGCCACTGAGCTAAATCCCTGGCCCCACACAGAAATAATCTTTGCTTCAACTGTCACACCTAAGGCAGTCTTCACACATGAAAACTGCATGTTCCATGCACTAGTATCACTTACACTGATAGCTGTATGTTTTGTTTTCCTGTCCTTTCTTGTAGGGCACAGTTGACTTTATTTTGTTTGTTTTCCTGTTGTCATAGTAGGTCTTTGTAATGCTGTGCCTGCCTGTTCACAAGTCAGCTCACCAGTAGGTTCCACAATTTTTTGGTGTAGTAGTTCCCTGGGCAGAAACATTTTGTTTTTCCTCTGCTGTAAATGATCTCTCAAGAGATCATTCTTCCCAATCTTCTAAGAAAATTTCTCTGTGGTATTTTGCATTTGTTATTTTCTTTGTAAACTATCAAACTATTTATGCCACACATATGTAGGATCTAGTAAAACACAACTATTGGCCAACACTTTGTGTTTCAAGTGACATCATAGTTGTTGCATAACTCATCAACAACATCTATTCTGCCTTTGTTTTTCTGTAGAAAGTTACCATGTCAGGCTTCTGTTTGTCAAGGTTTCCCTATCAATATTTCCATCATGGTGCAATGTTAACATCACCAGTACCACTTTGCTTTTTTTGGCCGTATATGAGGCCAATGTTATATCTATTTAAAATCTAAAGATTATACCATACAGTTCTCTGTTTTGAAATTGCAACCTTTCATTTGAAGTTTCTGCTTTGTTCCTGTGTGCAGTTCCTACACTGGTCAACTTGTGTTAGCAAATGTAACATTGATTTTGTTTTTTTGTTTTTTGTTTTTTGTTTTTTGTTTGTTTGTTTTTGGTACCGGAGATCGAACTTGGGACCTTGCACTTGTGCGGCAGGCACCAAAACCACTGAGCTAAATCCCTGGGCCGTAACATTGATTTTGACCCATTGCTTTTCCATACATCTTTTACATTCCTGTGATTACCATGAGAAAGCCCTGCTAAGTACAACAGACTTATGAATACTTTCAGTTCAGCTAGTGAGGTGTCATAATAAATACATTTTTTAATATGGGTATTGGTGTATACAAAATGTTTTACTTGTATTTCAGCTTTTTTGTATTTCACAACATCTTGTAGCATTTTGTCTGTTACAATTTCCAACACTGAATGACAGTGCTGGCATTCCATCCAGTAGCTTTCACTCCTGCAAAGATCCTCACTATGTTTTCAGACCTAGTTCTAACACTGAATTGTTCCATTTGGTTGCATGACCATTTTGCAATATTTCAACTAGTCAAATATGTACTCACATTGCTGTTTTCTTTGTCATCTGAATCAAGGAGGTCTGTATCAGTGTCTGTATCCCTGTGTCTGTATCAGTGGATTCTTTCTCCATTTCATTGTCACAGGAACTTTGGCTTGTGTGGCCAAACTCAAAGTCATTATCATCTTCATCATTCATGCATGAGTAATCTGATGATTCACTTTCAACTTCCTCCAAAACTTGCAAATCTAGTTTTTCATGTGCCATTGTACTGAATTGGGCTACTTCTACCAGAAAATCAAAAGAAAACTTAAAAAAAAAAAATCCTAAATGCACAGAAATTTAGCAATGAGCATTTCATGGGTAAAACTCATGTGTTGCTGCTTTGGAGCTCCTGTACATACCTTGCCATTAATCTGCTAAGTGGGTGAATGCACAGATGGGTTTTTGCTTTCCTCGGGTGCAACTATTGTGAGTCACACCCACATTCCATTATAATAAAATACATGTTTTCATAACAGAAGAGTGATATGGCTGTATTTTACCTCCCCCCCCACACACACCCATGATGCTCAGGCAAACATACATTATGTGGGTAAAGTTCCAGGGCCTGAGAATTTAGCTCAGTGGTTCTGGTGCCTGCCTTGCAAGTGCAAGGTCCCAAGTTTGATCCTTGGTACCCAAAAGAAAAAAAAAATCCTGATTTGACTCTTTTGTACAGGTGCACACACCTTGCCTTTCCTCCTACCAAATGTGTAAACACAAAGATTGCTTCCTTTATCCCCCAGGCACAGCTACTGAGACACACAGCCAGCTATTATTATGCTAAAGTACAAATTTACAATAGAAAAGTGGGGCCAGGGATTTAGCTCAGTGGTTTCACCGCCTGCTGCACAAGCACAAGGACCCGAGTTCATCCCTGGTACCAAGAAAAAAAAAAGAATTTACAATAGAAAAGTATGGGGTGTGTTGTTGTAACCCAATGTTACCTGTTTTAGGTTCCCCTTCCCTTCCTTTCCTTCCTCCTCCCCTATCTCTTGTTCTCCTTCCCATAAACATGTTCTTCCTACTTTTTAATATCTATCCTCCATTTTGTTCCTTATTTATTCTTTTGGTTTCTTACACAAGAGAAATGATGTGATGATATTTAAACTTGTGTGTCTGATTTATTTCACTTAACAGAAGAATATCTTTCCATTTTCTGATATCTCTTTGATCTACATTTTCAGAGTACTATAGTTTTCATCATAGAGGTCTTTCACTTTCTTGGTTAGGTTAATTCCTAAGTATTTAATTTTTCTCAATGGTATTATGAAAGGTGTTGTCTCCCTAATTTCTCTCTTGGTGAGTTTGTTACTGGTGTACAGGAATGCTATTGATTTTGGGGTATTGACTTTGTATCCTGCTACACTACTGAATTTGGTTTTTCATTCTAGGAGTCTTTTGGTGGAGTTTTGGGGGTCCTCTAAGTACAGGATCATTGACAGTTCTTCTTTCCTTTTTTTTTTTTTGGTACCGGGGATCAAACTCGGGACCCTGGGCTTTCGAGGCAGCCGGCAGCACCACTGAGCTAAATCCCTGGCCCTGACAGTTCTTCTTGAGGGAAGGGATGGAGGGTTCTGGATGGTGCTCCCATGTGCGAGCACCCCAGCGAATGCTGCCAACTGAATGATCAAAACAGTGACCATCTTTGTCTGTGATGATGCCATTTAGGACTCAGGTTAGATGGCACCTCAGAAAGACCTTCCTTGATTCTGGGCCTCTCTGCTAGAGCAGTCCTCCAGTACCTGCCACTGCCCACTTCACTCTCTCATAAACATTAGCCTTCCTCACATTTTTCTTGTTGTTTTTCTTTCTCTTCTAGAATGCAGGCCAAGACTTGCTTATCTTGGCCACCTCCAGAGTAGTGGGAGACAAAATAGCATTCAGTAAATGTTGGTTTAAGAAAAGGCAGAAGGATGCACCT